CTACCACTCTTACAGTAATGCTCTGGACAACTCTGGACAATACCACCATGTGGACTCCACCAGGGCTTCTTAGGGGAACAAGCCAAACTGCACCATACAATGATTTAAACATTTGATGGATGCAGCAGCAAACCTATCTTATGAAATATGGACAAAAATTTGAGATCAAGCTTGACTTATTTTCCTAAAACAAAATCAGACTAGATTAGAATGGTGCCCAAACAGAAAAAGCAAAGTCCTAATTGAATAGTCACTAGGAATATGTTGTACACTGATCAGTCAGATTACAATCAGTCTGCCAAACATGGAAGCAACAGAATGAAAATAAATGGGATGAGTGAGAGGACCATTACCTCCAATGCATGGGTTTGAGGTATTTTTATTCATTTTCTCTTCTAAAATTTAAGTTGGAGAAATAAACATAAACAACAACAAACTGGCTGAAGGACATTGTTTGCATTCTCTAACACGAAAATAAAATAAGAAGAGAATCACATGGTGATTTTGTTAGCATGCGTGAAAATCTGGCAGAGGATAAATATTTCCCAAACATATGTATCCAGCTTGCTATAATAAGATCTTTTCTTATATTTTAAATAATCAAGACCAAGTTTGAAAAAAACATAGTGAGAAAAAAGTCTCTCAAATGGAAAAGCACCGAATGATACAATGAACTAAGCCTACTGCTAGAAGAAAGTTCGAGAAATCTAGAACGATCTGGAAAGGCTAGCATTGAAACATGGGTGGGGAAATGGTGGGATCAAACAGGCAGTAAGTGTTCAGTCCCTGCTCTCAGACAACTACTCCTTCTATCTTGCTTTCTGGATTGCTGGTTCTCTCCCATGATAGCTGAGAAAGAGAGAGAGAGAGAGAGAGAGAGAGAGACACAGAGAGAGAGAGAGAGAGAGAGAGAGAGAGAGTGTGTGTGTGTGTGTGTGTGTGTGTGTCTGTGTGTTTTGCCAGCGGGTCCTTTGCAGGTGACTATAAATTCTCATGTTACCATCACGGCAGAGTTGAGCCTTAATGATTTTAAGTTGAAGTGATGAAGGGATTCAATATGCCATGGAGAAAAATATCAGAATTTTATGAAAATAAAATGCTAAAATGCTCTTTCTGATGTCTTGTTAAATGCAAAATATGTTTCATCTGTTATATTGCCTTCATTCTTAATTCATCTATAATTACATGTACTAGAGAAACAATTCTGCCTCTTTCAGTCCGGTTTCCGTGTGTGTGTGTGTCTGTTCTGTCTATGAGTGGTGGTAGGAAGGGCCATTGGATGTGATCTGGTCTGAGACAGCATCTGAGGAACCAGTGGCTTCCATAATCACACCTACAGTTTCTGCGGGAACCCTCCCACGGCAGTGCATACATCATCACAAGGTTGACAGCAATCATTCAAGACATTATTTTCCTATTAATTTACAATCTGACTTCCTATAACTTCTACCTTAGTTTTGATTTTTATATACAAAAGGTACCATAACCCTTCAGTCACCACCTTTCCAAGTAACTGAGAATAGCTTTCCCATCCTCCATCAATCTTATTTTTTCCATATTTAACACATCCTATTTCTCTAATCATTCCCATATGAAGCCTTCCAGATCATTCATTATCCTATAATTCTCAGCTGAATAAGTTCAAGTCAAAGTCCATTGTTCATATTATCATTATTAAACAGGCTCCACTTATTAAGAATATGCCATATCCCAGAAAGTGTTCAAATAAATTATTTGCTTTAATCTTCTCAACAACGCCTTTCAAGGCCAATATTTTCATCCTCATCTTTGTGTTGAGAAAACCTAGGTTCAGAAACTTTAAGGAAGTTCCTTGAAACCACACGGGTTACCATTAGCCACCCCCAGTCTGGTAGCTTCAGAGCATTTATCGCACGTGATTGAAACACAGCCCTGCAGGCAGGATCTGTGCAGCGCTGGGAACAGGATGGCTGGCTGCCTTCTGCAAACCGAACACTAGCGTCCACAGAAACAGCCTGTGATTACAAAATGGTTTTGACAACTGTGTCACACTGCTGGCTCATGATGAGTTTGTAATCAACTTAAGCCCAAAGAGGAGTTTTACTCAAATTGTTACCGGGTCTGAATGCCCCTCTCACATACACATTTCTATTTTGTACTTAATCTCGTTTATCAGAGTAAAGTTTAAATGTTAGCTTTCCTGCTTTGCTTCAGTGTCCCACACTGTCCATTTCATAATAAAACTGGATTCTCACAATTGGGGGATGAATCTCTTTAAATAAGCAATACAGGCTTTAAAGCTCTATATTGCTTAAAAAATAATTGTTCAGCTGTGTTTCTGTGCCTTCATCCAGGTCTTGGATACAGACTCAATTTCAAGAAGAGCCAGCACTGAAGCTCACCTTTCCTGGGCAATGCTTTTCCTTCTCTGTTTACCTAGAATGCTCTGTGTATAGCTCACCAGGCAAGCTTTACTTTCCATTGTTTATATCAAAACACAAGAAATACTGTCACATGCTTTTCCCTTTTTTTTTCCCTTTTTTTTTTTTTTTTTTTGAGATGGAGTCTTGCTTTGTCACTAGGCTGAAGTGCAGTGGCGCGATCTCAGCTGACTGCAACCTCCGACTCCCAGGTTCGAGCAATCTCCTGCCTCAGCCTCCCGAGTACCTGGGATTACAGGCGCATACCACCACTTCCGGCTAACTTTTGTATTTTTGGTAGATATAGGGTTTCACCATGTTGGCCAGGATGGTCTTGATCTCCTGACCTAGTGATTTGCCTGCCTGGGCCTCCCAAAGTGCTGGGATTACAGGTGTGAGCCACTGCGCCCGGCGTACCATGCTTTTTCAACTAGCACCTCATTGCCCCCTTGAAAATTACTCTATTTGATTTACAAGACATTTTTCTTATTCAACCAATAGGTTACAAATAAACCTACTGAACTTTACCATGTCCAAATTTCTCCATCTTCTTCACAAAGATGTCAGTCATGAACACCTATTTTCTAATATCAATGTCTGTGGTGAAACTGAAAACATTCTACTGGCAAAAGTTTTTATATCCCAGAAAAAAGTTACTCTTAAGAATCTGTCAAATGTATAAAAATAATTTATTGTAAAGAAAATAACTGGCCAAGTTTGCTGTGCCACTCAAAATGTTCAGTGACATCAAAAGAAAGGTAATTATAAAATAAAAATTTTGTAACCACAGTGATTATCTACAATGAATCTGAAGCACAGATATAAATTAAACTTGACAAAATGTTCAATACTGTTTGTACCTTAGTCAGCCCTAAGGCATTATCCTCTCTACGTGAAACACCATAAACTTTCTTCTAGACTTTTCCTTAGAAGACTCTGGTATCCGGAACTCAAATACTGCTAGTTTACCCTGTTCATTCCATTACACAAACGCAATCAATAGAAAGACTCTCCTCAAAGTTAAAAGTGTCTCGACTTAGATCAATTTTTCCAGAAAATTTATCTACATTAAAAAAAATATTGTATCTCTCAAGGTTACAAAAGTCCTGTAGGTTTCATAGTAAAACTCAGCTAGAAGTATATTACTGGAGCTGCCTGTTTCCAGAATTCACATCTAGATGAGTAATTGGACACGTTGGTCTAAGAAACTAAATAAAATCAAAGCCAGAAAAAGGGAAGAAAGAGTTTTTTTTATGCATGGTCCTTGGGGATTCCTGTGGAGGCCCATCAATGTTTATGGGAATACAGCATGACTAAATTTTCTATAAATTGGTATAACAGACTAAATAATGTTGGATGTAAGACTTCATTTTCAAAAAACATAAATTTTTTTCTATGTTCCCGCAATCTGTAAAAATTTAGTAACCTACTTCGCATCCCCATCCTAAATGAATTCAACATGAAATGGATTTGAGTCTTCTGTTACAAGAAAAATATTAGGTACATGAGTGCATTATACAAAATATAACAGGAATGATGTGCGGGTTAGGGGACAGAAGAAGCAGAGTAAATGGGAACATGGGAAATAGGGTGGGCTTAATATTAGCTGGCATGAGGAACGAGGAAGAGAAATATGTAAGGACACACACGTGTGCACTGACCGTGCTGCCTGGGACAGAGTCTTGGCACAAGTCTGAGGAAGGGTTGGACTGTGGAAGCACACGGTGGGAGGGGCGGGTTTGGAGAAGTGTGATACCCTCCCTTCTTTATGACAAGGGCAGGAGCTGGAGGCAGGAAGAATGAGCTCTTTGAATGAAGACATCGCCTCTGAAATAGAATCACCTTGCTAAAAGTGCAAGCCACTCCATCTTGGTGCACACACAGACATGCTCCTAGAGCCTGCATTCATGCCCTGTGTGAATTTTCCCTGATACTCAGAGAGCTCAACAATCAGCCATCTCTACAGCTCCAGACAGGTTGTGTTCTCATCTGCTAATTTGGTTTTGACAAACATCTCTGACAAAAGGCATTCAGCTGCCCTTTCTCTGAGAGGAATCTGTTTTCTTTACCAAGAACAAAAAGTATACCCTTTTCAACTAAAGCTGCAATGCCCACCACGATGTGCATTTTAAAAATTACCCATTCTCTGAGCAAGAAAAGGTCATGGACATTTTCAAATTATCCCACCATCCCTACGTACAGAATTTGTAAGTTTTCTACCAAGTAACAAGTGACTTGGGCATACATTATGCAAAAAAGATAAAATTCATGTAAATAATAGCTCACAGCCAGGATATTAAAGAAAAGTCTACTTTTAAAGGCTTCAAAATTTTTTTTTGTTCCTATCATATTGTTGAAGATTTTATCTTTTAAAAAATATAAGATCACATTTTAATTTTGGTTGTAACATTTTGGGACATTGTACATATTTTTATGAATCTGATCCCCTGTTAGAGACTTGGGAATAACTTTATATTTAGAGACTGGGTTCAAGTAATTTTCCAGAGTCCTATAAAAATAAAGAGGCATCTTGTATATTTTATACCAACATTCCCCAGCTTTCAATATCTAGGACAAAAATGTCTTAAGACACACACTTACCTCTACATCACAGGTATATTCTGAGCCATCTAGAAGTATCACTTTGCACTGCATGCTTTTAGGCTTTTTGACAATCTTTAATGGAGACCGAGAGAGTTTACTGCTAGATGATTTCTGAGAAAGTTTATCGTCTTCTAATTGCTGATATTCAAGCTGTTTTGCAGCTCTGGCAGCAGATTCCTGTTCCTTGTCAGTGACCTGTGAAGAGCAAACAATCAACAGCTTTCATTGCAAGATGGGAAATAAACATTGCATTGCTCATGCAATAGCACAAAACTGCTTTCTATTTCATAGAGGAGAGAAAATGAATTAGGATATTAGGAATAGACATAAATATACAGATACTTATAATATTTGCCTAAATGATGTTTGCCATTTAAATGTATCAATAAGGCCTTAGTTCATTTTAACTCCAGGACTTACTTTAGAAGCACTGAGTTAGCAAATGCTATCAAAATTTCAACAAGCCAACAATGAATAAGTGATTCTTGACTTTTTAAAAAGCATTGGATAGTATAGGTCTCTAAAATATACTGTTTAGATTTCATAAATGTTCTATTTTCTTAATTCACCAGATCCTTCTATACACCATGACTTGTTATATAACCGTCTCATCCATATACATACAAGATATCTGATAAACTCTAATGTCTGGAGAGCTTCAAGTATTAATCTTTCCAGTAACTATACAACTGTTAAAATATTTGATTTAGCTCTCAATCAATTCAATGAAGTCAGCAGAACTGAATTTCATCACAAAGCAATCCCTATGTCTGCTTCCCTTCACTGTAATGAGCCACTGTAAGAACATATCAAATCTGTCCCAATAGCTTTAATCTGCTTTCAAACCACAACAGACTAGTCCAGGCTAGATATAAAACTGCAGAGGACATCTGAAGTAACAGTAACATTCTCCCATAAGCCAATCCCTTTGGAAATGTGCACACAGATCTTCAACTATTCTCTCTGTACATCCATCTTCTATCTATTAAATGACCACCAATGGTAGTACTGCAAATTCAATCCTTGGGCCATGCCACCGTTGCTCCTAGTCTGCAAATATGTGCCGACAGTCCAAAGAAAGATATGCACCAAAATTCTGCTTAGGGCTTTGAAATAAGCATGAAATTTCCTGTCCCGTGAGTATACTATCAGCCTGTTGCTAAAAAGTCATGGGCTCGAAGGGTAAAGACAGTATTGATGGTTTATCATTTTAACTTTTCTATTAGCCTCTACAATTTTATAACACTAACATAATTACAAAGGTATTTGGGTATTTATTTATTTTGGATTTTAGGTATAGATTTCTGCTTTATCTTCATTTTCTATCTTGTTATCCATCCAAAAGACTGCTAATACAGTCCTCTCCTTCAATCCTATCTTGCCCAGGATTTCAAGGCAAAGTCTTGAGAACTTCTTAAGAACTGAAAGAGACCAATCTGTTGAGCTTATAAAAACAAAGCAACAAAAAACTGAATAACCAATCATAAAGGCCAAAATAATTGAAAAAGCAAGTCTTAGCTTTAAAAAGTAAATAAACTAAAGAAAACATGCTCTGGCAACTCAGTCCTACTTTTTTAACCAATGTCTTTCCTACAGCAAAACATTAAAATAGTAAGTGCAATATAATCATAAAATCGTCATTAATTTTGCCCATGAGGTAATTTACAGAAAAGTTTGGTAACCTCGGTACTGTATATCAACAACAATAACACATTTGTTGAGTGCTTTATAACTTATACAAATTTTGTACATTTAAGTTTTATTTTTAATCTCCTCATAGGCAAAGGACATTAGAAACTATTAGTACATATTTATTTAAATTTTACCTGAAACCAACTTTTTCTGTGTGGCAAGAAAGATAAATTTCACTTTACTAAAATAAAAACATTGGTATGAGAATAAGCTTTCTGGGTTACTTTAAATGTCAATTCCAGAGGCATCTTAAGCCATCAATATTCAAAGGCTAGGCATGGTTTCTGGGAACACTGGAAACAGGAACCCATCATTGAGACCCTTACATACATTTTTTTTTTAAACTTTAAGAACTCTAAAATAGTAGACTAAGTCCCTCAAATGAAATGTCAATCATAGTCATGTGATGAGTTCTAATTTTAAATATCGGATTTTAGCAAATCCTCAATCTCATTTAATCCATAGCTCTATGGTATGGGTATTATTACCCTTATGTGCATATAAGGAGAGAGAGACACAGGGAGCCTAAGAAACTTTCTCGAGGCATAAATTCAATGGATTTGAATGAAATTCAAATCTAGCCAAACCCATGTTTTAATCACCGCTATGTACCAAAATGTACTTTATTTTACCTCCAACGGTTAGCTTCCTAGCATGAATCAAAGAATTTTGTGAAAGAATCTTAGAAATTATCTTTTCTGAACTCTTCATTTTGTAGATGAAGCTGAGGCTTGGGGACTTGCATGAGTTCTCTGAGGATGGGAAAATAATGACTAGAAGCGACAGGACTCTGAGCTCTCTGTGTTTTAAAGCAGCCAGTCATTTCTCCCTCTTATTGTCATTTCTCGTTTTGTATCTGACTATAGATGATAAAGAAAGTATATTTAACCATGTCTACATATAAACAGTCATACTTTTCTACAATTATCTCCCACTTTCATATTATTTCATTTCAGAATAAAGAAAATATGAAGGAAAAACAAAACATTTAGTTTGGTAATTTTAAATGTCTGAAGATTAAAACAACAAAATAAAAAGAAAGCCAAACACTACCACCATTTCCTCCACAAAAAGAAAACGTAAAAGAAAACCATGATGGCTACAACAGTTCCTTGGGTTTGTCTTCTAAGCTGGGATGGGATCTCCCCACTCTACATCACAATGCATCTGAGATCAGACAAAGCAGTTATTTATAGCTTGAAAATAATTGCTACTATTAATACTGTTTAAAGCAGAACTTGCAACTTTCATTTTAAAATGGTTACACAGAACCAAGCTGGTTTCCCTCCTCCCATCCCTCCACAGAAAGCCTAAAACAAATATACAGCACCAAGATTTTCACCAGCAACAACCCAGAACTCATATATGAGGACAAGACAGATCCTGGAGCCACAAAGAAATGGAAAACATCCATGCAGACGGTAGAAGAATTGGACTTCCACAGTCATGATGCCCCTCCCTCTGATTCTGCACAGCAATAAACATGCAGAAAATCTTCCCCCAACTTGTAGAAAAGTGAAACTGGAAAAGTGAGACTGAGGTGGCCAACCAGGTTTCCCACCCTCTTGAGCTTCCTTGAAGGAGACTGGTCCTTGCCTTAACCCATGGGAAAGAAGTGATGTGACTGCCTGAAGGAATAAATATACCTGGGGACAGGTAGACACAAAGTGGGTGGGACCACCAGCCTCAATCCTGGACACTCTGCTCTGCAACTTGGCCAAAGGAGATGCCGAATCTGAGTGGCTGTTCAGCAGCACCACGCTGGAGGAAGGCATATTCTACAGATGCCCTGTGCACAAATTCCTAGTCAGCCAGCATAATCCCTTCAAGACTTCTCTCATTCAGAACAAGCAGCACTCCCATCACTTACTAGAGCCAAGGTAAATCTGGGCTTAAAGACCACCTAGGGCCAAAGAGGTGGCAGACGCCTAGCAGTAAAAAAACATCTAAGCAAACATATCCAATAAAAAACAAAACAAGCCAGACAGAGAAAACTGGAATTAAAAACTAATCCTTCCATTAAAATCACAGACACCTACCCACAAGAAACAATAGTAAACAAGAAACTATGACCTCCCCAAAAAGACAAAGTAAAAATCCAGTGACAAACCCTTACAAGATGGTGATTTGTGAGCTGAGAATTCAAAACAACAGTTTTAAGGAAACTCATGAGCTTCAAGATAAAAATGAGAAGCAATTTACTAGATAAATCTGATGAAGAGATTGAAATACTTTAAAAAAATCAAAGAGAAATCTCAGAAATACATTTGGTAAACTGAAGAACTCATTAGAGGCTCTTAGCAGAATGAACCAAGCAGAGGAAAGATTCAGTGAGCTCAAAGACCAGCTATTTGAAAAGACACGGAGAAAAAAGAAAAAAGAGCAAAAAGGAACAAAGACTGCATACAAGATATAGAAAGTTACCTCAAAAGACCAAACCTTAGAATTATTGGTATTCAAGAGGCAGCTGAGCAAGAGCAAGGGGTAGAAAGCATATTCAAAGAAATAATCACAGAAAACTTTCCAAAACTTGAGGAAGATAAATATTCAGTTACAGGAAAGTCTGAGAACATCACACAGATTCAACCTAAGTATGAATACTACAAGGCAATAAACTCTCAAAGCTCAAGGACAAAGAGAGGATCTTAAAAGTAGCAAGAGAAAAAGAAACAAATAACATGTAAAGGAGCTCCAATTTGCCTGGTAGCAGACTTCTCATCGGAAACCCCACAGCGTGGAGTGACATTTTTAAAGTGCTCAAAGAAAAAAAAACTGTCCTCTAAGAATATTGCATCCAGCAAAATTACCATTCAAATACAAAGGAGAGATCAAATCTTTCCCAAAAACAGAGAGAATTCACCACCACCAGACCCATCTTAAAAGAAATGCTAGAGTTCTTCAATCTGAAAGAAAAAAACCACTAATGTACAAAAAATAAAAATAATGTATCATCAAACCCAGTGATAAAATGTATCAAATCCAGTGGTAAAATCAAGTATATGGATAAATCCAGAATATTCTATTACTGTACTTACTGTACTTGTAGTGTACAATGTACTACCACTATTACTACAACAATCGTAACTCTAGTATGAAGCCCAAAAGACAATCTATCAAAAACAATATCTAAAGCAACCTGTTAAGAGATAGGTAATATTAAAATATGCAAATTGAGACAACCAACTCAAAATGTGATTGGGGTGGAGTTAAAGTGTGTGTTTTAAATGTGTGATCTCAGATAAGCTGTCATTTGTTTAAAATAAGTGTGTGTGTGTGTGTTTTAAATTTGTGATCTAAGATAAGCTGTCATTTGTTTAAAATAACTTGCTATGTCTGTAAGATGTTGTTGGTAAGCCTCATGGTAACCACAACACAAAAACCTATAATAGATTCACTAAAAATAAAAAGCAACACATTAAACCGCACTACCAGAGAAAATCACGTAGCCACAAAAGAAGACCATGTGAAAAAGAACAAGAGGAATCTTAATCAGAAACAGGTAG